CTGGGCACGCGCAATTTCTTTGAGCGCGACGGCTTCCCCTACTGCGAGCCCGACTATCACAATCTGTTCAGTCCGCGCTGCGCCTATTGCAACGGCGCCATTCTGGACAAGTGCGTGACGGCGCTGGACAAGACCTGGCACACCGAGCACTTCTTCTGCGCCCAGTGCGGCCAGCAGTTCGGCGAGGACGGCTTCCATGAGCGGGACGGCAAGCCCTATTGCCGCAACGACTACTTCGAGATGTTTGCGCCCAAGTGCAACGGCTGCAACCGCGCCATCATGGAGAACTACATCTCCGCCCTGAACTCGCAGTGGCATCCCGATTGCTTCGTCTGCCGGGTAAGCACCACCTATAGAGCTCAGCGCATATCTCTGGCCTTTGCTCGTTGCTCTCTCTTTACCTGATTATTCTTTTGATTCTGATTATGCGATTATGCGATGTTTAGGATTGCAAGAAGGCTGTGCGCGGCAAGTCCTTCTATGCCATGGAGGGCAAGCCGGTCTGTCCGCAGTGTGTGGGCGTCGATGAGGAGGAATAGGCGTCCATAACCCAGCAACAGCAGAGGCAGCGGCAGCGGCAGCGGCAGCGACAGCAGCAGCGACAGCAGCAGCAACAACTTGTTGAAGTTCAGCAGCACGAAAATAGCCCCCGTCCGGATACGAATTGTATATACATGAAATTGTTTACCCAGCGGCAGCTGCGTCCCACTTTCTGTCTCGCATTCACTCTCAGTCTGTCTCTCTCCGTGTCCCATTCTCTTTGGGGGCTATTTTCGTTGAAAATGTGAAAATTCTTTTTAATATTGTCGGGGCTCAGCGCTTGCCACGACTCGTGTTGCCAACTGCCACTATCCAGCAGCAGCAGCAGCAGCAATAGCAGCATCATCTACAACAGCAACAACAACTCAAGGATCTGCCCCCACGTCTTTGGCTTCTGTGGGGGCCTGGACACGGCTGACCACCAGGCAACTGGGTGGGTCGGCTATGTCCGCCCCTGCAGCGCGCCTTGCCCCCCGCTATTATGATGGCCTCGGCCATGGCTTGCCTCCCCCTGCAAAGAGTAACCCCGCCCCAGTCCCTGCCCCCTTTGAAACTGTTGAACTTTTCTATATGCAATTTAGTTGTAAGTTTTTAGGTATTTTTTAAATTTAAACATTTATGAAGCAATATTGTAATTTGTTTTTGTAAATAAAATTTAAATAATTAAATTATATTAAAAAACAACCAAAAAATAAAAACACAACAAAAATTAACTCAAAAACAACAATCGAAAAGTCTTGGCAAGTGGAGCTGCACAAGGGGGGAACTGTTGAGCAGCTCCCAGTGCTCCGAGTCCAGCCAGACCTTGCCGCAGTTCAAGATCAGAGTCAATATCGTTGACCTTGAGCTGGAATGTCGCATGTGCCACGACCTTCAATTGTTGTTGTCGTTGTTGTTGTTGTTGTTGTTGTTCAGTTGCAAACAATTTACACTATTGCTACATAGATTTTCGGATTAGATTAGCCACAATACCAACAATACCCACCCCCCATCTCCGTCTCGCCTTGACCCCGCCCACGGGTGAAAACTATTTTGGTTGCTGACGTTTTTCGCTCATAAATATAAAACTCAAACGAAATCAGCAAATGATTTCGACTGTATATGAATATGTTTAGCAATTTATCTGTATTCACAAACACTTTCGCCTACGAAATAATGCTCTCTATCTGAGTGTTCCCCGAAAGAGTCGAGACTCCCATGTTCCCTTATTTATTTGTCATTTGACTAAAATACTCGGACTGCATAGCTTTCAAAATATGCATATTTATAGAAACTCAAACGGATTCTCTTTCAAAATGCTATGGAAATTCCAATCAAATATTTCCCATATATCAGCGCTAAATTTGGCTGCCAACGCTTCGAGCTTGTGTTTATTTCAAACAAAATGCTTCCACCTACGAATTATTCAGTCTTAGAGCGCTATCAGTACTTATTTATTATTATGAAGCCTTCAAAGATGACTTTATATTGTAACTGTATTAATATAAGAGGTGGTCATGTAATGTAATACAATGTGTATAACACTTTTCCTTTGTTGATTGATCAAAATTTTCATAAGCTTGACAGGTCTCACGTATCAAATGTATTAAACAAGAATCTGTTAATATCTGTTAGGTTTTCCCTTATTAATTCAGAGGTTTATATACTGAAACTGTTAGAAAACCAATCAAAATAGAAATACTTTACTTACTGTCCAAATCTCTCCAATCATCATGATCTTCATTGATCGCTAAACAATTAAAATGGTCTTCCATTCAGAATCGTTTTATTTCAAAGTTTTCTTTCACCCCTCCAGTGATGAATATATATGAGCTCCATTTCTTAAATTCTTTAAATATACATACATATGTACAGTTCCTGTTGCTTTAGCCAAGTCAACAGCAAATTGGTCATTAACTTTAACTTTATTTTTTTTAGGGAATTATTCCTTGTTTCACCATATATATATACAAATATATTAAATTTGTCTGCTTGTTTTTGCATTAGGCTAGGGTATCAGCTAGTCGAACCCTTGTGGCTTGTGAAGTCTCTGATTATTAATATTGTTTTAAAGTACAATGAAATGTTTTTTTAAATATACTGTGTAGATATATAAAAAGAATAATCTCCATTGAGATTTCTAATTCAGTTTTATTGTTTTTATAAAGGTGAGGAAAGCGCAGGAGATATTAATGCAAAGGCGTTTAAGTAATATTGAATTTATTTTATTATATATCCACGAGACAGTTTCTGATAATACTCTTAAAGGCTATCTATATGTATTTATTTATATATATATGTGTTATATCTATAAATATCATATAAAGTAACTAAAACAAAGCAAATATACGCTTGAAAGTCCATTTCGTTTTCTGCATTTACCAAGGCAATATTTTATAATGATATTATTTAATTGTTACCATATATTATAATCTATATGTGTGCCTCTCTGTGTTGCTATATCTATTCGTTTGGACTTGGTTCTGAGCCAAAAGCGTGCGCAAAATGTTATTGTTTAAATTGATGCGATTTCTATGTCTTGTTGTTGTTGTTGCTGTTGCTGTAGAATTGTTTTTCCAAAACCAAATTCAATTGTCGCAAAATACTGCCAAAATTGTATACATGTTTTGCACACTGTGCACACTGGTGCAGAAGCATCTGTCAATCGCCATTTCAATAATTCGCTTGGCACATTTCAGACTTTCACAATTTCAGAAATTTTTGAAATAGCTCACTGGCAGCTAATTTATGAATGTAATTAGCATTTAATTTGAATTTGAATCTGAATTTGAGCAACCTGCCGGGCAGACACCTTCGAAAATAGATCAGGAAGCTGGGCCGATGGCGCAGTTAGACTTACCTTAATTATGCCATTAGATCTAAAATTATCAACTGATGTAAGAATGTATATAGAATATATATATTGTATTAATTTGTATTATTTTTGCTTTGTGTGTTGCAGGATTGTCGACAACCGTTCCAGGGCGGCTCATTCTTTGACCACGAGGGTTTGCCGTACTGCGAGACACATTATCATGCCAAACGTGGCTCGCTCTGCGCCGGCTGCTCGAAGCCCATAACGGGTCGCTGCATTACGGCCATGTTCAAGAAATTCCATCCGGAACACTTCGTCTGCGCCTTCTGCCTCAAGCAGCTGAACAAGGGCACGTTCAAGGAGCAGAAGGATAAGCCCTACTGCCACGCCTGCTTCGACAAGATATTCGGTTGAACTGGGCAAATACGTATAACCCTTACATATGTGCTGCAACAACTAACTATATATACATACATATATAGAGTTACGATCCTAATATGCTGTTTCTTCTTTTTTGTACGATTCTATGTGCCCCCTACTTACCCTTACGAGAGTTAATCTGCGCTTTGTATAACCGAGTCAAATTAGTAATATAATTAACAGTGAACATACGATATACATACATATATCAGATCAGATCGGATCAGATCAAATTAGATCAGATCGGATCACAATAATCAATTAGACGACACTAATACCCTGCCAATTGAATGGCGAAACGATATTTCTGCTCTTTCAAAATAAAATTATTATGATAATACATTTTTAAGATTTTTATTTTGGGTAAATATGGGCAATTAAAAAGGTTGATGTCAAAGCTTAAATATTTAATAAGTGAAACCCGCTTTGAACTTTAATACTTTGAAAAGTTACAAACTTAGTTTAATTAAAAAATTTTCCAAATATATAACATGTTCAAATTGTCTACAAGAAAGAAATATACATACATTTCTTTAAAATGAGTATTAGATAAAATAATTTTCAACGGAATACAAAATTTTAAAACCGGCAAACGCTAAAAATTGCTCTGTTAACTAACAGCAGCTGTTTGCCTGGTTTAGCGCAGACACAAACCGACAAGCATCAGTAACTGGCCGGCATTCTTTTGTTTTTCTATCGAATTTGCCTTTGCTACAGTTTTGAATGCTCTAGGAAACTTGTATGTTTGCTCACCATCTGCGCACCTTTAAATTGCCTCTCCCACACTCTCTTACGCTCTTGTATGCAAACACACACATACGCACACAGAGAATTATTTTATCTGTTAAAGATGCCGGCCGGCAGCTCGGTTGCCCACTCGCTCGCACTTGGCGCTTGACATTGAGCTCAGCCTGCGTGCTCGCGCCAACCTATTAACTGGTGTGTGCATGTGTGTGTGAATATAACTACCAGCGCTCCCACATTGCCGTGCGTGTGCGTGTGTGAGTAGCCGTCGCTCCCTATAAACGCGGTAGGGTTCGCAGCACGAACGCTTGTTGTGAATCAGTCAGCGTCAGTCTCTCTCTGCTCACTCACTTCTCATCTGTTGGCTGTGTCGGTTGAGTCGGTCCTGTTAGTCGCGTGGTCCGCCGCCTCGTTATTCGTTTTTCGTTTCGTGCGTGTATTTACTGTGCTATTCCCCAGATCGTTTTATTTAATTTAACTATCCGGTATTATTAAACGTCTGTGGAGTTCCCTTGCCGACAACAACAAAAAGAGAGTCAAAAAACAGGCGGAGTCAGCAGGAAGCGCTACAGGTTGGTGAAGCACACAGGCACACATCTACACACATTGAGAAGCAAAACAATAAACACATATACATACATATAATCTACTTGTGTGCGTGAATTATATCATTCGACTCTTCGTTGCATTCTCTACCAGGAACTGTTTACAAATAGTTCTCTTTTCTTGCCTTTTTTTTTTGAGTGGTGATGTAATATGAGAACTGTTCTTCAAGTCCTTAACAAAATAAACAGTGTGTGTGTGAGTGAGGTGTGCACTACGAGTCATGATATCATGCGGTGCTATTGTGATTCAGAACCCAATCAGAATCTAAGTCAGAGTCACGCATGCCACCCGCATTTGCTGACGCGAGAGTAATAACAGATCCGCAGAGCAGAGAGGAAGGAGAAAGATATACAATTAAAGTTTATTTATGCCACTGGCATACACGACCAATTGCCCGCCAGACTCTCAAACTGTCTGCCTGTGTTTGCGCGCGTATATGGGTGTGTGTGTGTGCACCAATTTGTCAATGATTGCGATATGTAAATAAAAGTGAAATTAAGAGCTGCAGCTATTATTATTCGCTTTTGTTGAGATTGTTGTTTTCGCTGCTGTTGTTGTTATTATCACTTAATGCCAATTGATGCATTTAAATTCATGCTTAAATTGCATTGTAAATTCATTTAACATATACACATACACAGCTGCACCGTTGCAGCATTCGGTACAATACTTCCACAACTGTGCGTCAGCAATTTGAATGTTTACATTCACTGAGCACAGCCGAGGTGAGTCTTGGTAAGGGTGTGTGTGTGAGGGGGTGTAGCTGAATGTCCAAATGGGCTTGACACGCAATTCCGATTATTACCTACTGATTAGCCATAAAAATATGTAGCGATTTGCTCTGGGCCGCACTTACACATGTAATGCGCACTGACAAATTAGTGGAGCACACACGTTAAGCGTTGTGACAACTGTTTGTAGCTGCAGTTTTGCAGCCACAAGTGACATACACGCACAGTTGGGTGGCCACTGTGCTAATTGCAAGCTCAACAGTAACTGCTCAACTACTACTGCATTTGCATGGCTTATCACGTCGCCAATAATGACTCAATTAGCAGAGCTGCCATCTGCTGATACCCTTTAATTCTAAGTACTGACAAGTGTGCCCTACCCCCATCATAATAATAGTTACGTCATCTCAGTGTTTGAGCGTTAATGAATCGATTTATCATACTATTTCTTACCCCAATAATTTTAACTGATTAACTGATTAATTTTATTGCCACCGAACCGAACCTTCGACAAGAATAATAAAAGAATAAGGTCAGCAACGGAAGCCTAAGAAGAGTATTCAAATTAATTATAGTCAGATAAGTCATACTCTAAATATGTATATTTATATTAAAAATTATTGGATATATATTCTCAAATATAATCTGAACGGAAATTGGAAATCGCAAGAAAACGGTTTATAATCAAGTTGCGGCAGCTCTTGATAAGGCTAATGCCGCGAACTCCCCAAAGATTATGATAAGGTTCACGGTCAAAATGCTAGTCAAGGTCAACAATCAATAAGAACTTTGGGAAATCAAGCTCTCTCGGTAATTTTCCTAATATTCAGTTAGGAGTCTAATGAAGCTGAAGTAGCTTAGGAGCTATTTATAATACTATTTTGTCTGTGCCGCGATAGAATTGATTGGCGAATGGTTGAATGGAACTTGTTGATAATATTTTTAAGAAAAGCTAAAGATTAAAAACTTGCATTTACAATTTTCTTTTAATTAAAAAAATGTACTAGTTCAGGTGAATTATCATATGCTGATCTGTAAATGAATCGTTTCAATGTTGAACCATATGTACATTTCTAAGGAATTAGTTAATTGAGTAAACAAACTTTACGGTTCACCGATTTAAAATTTATCATTCACCCAATGACTCTACTAGTGCTAACGACTAATAGAATTCTGTGGTTCCCTTGAATGAATCGTTCAAATGAATATACTCTTGGGTGGCTGAACTAAACTTTTAAATGAAGTGACAATAATCAATTGAACATCACTGCGTGAGATTAGTCGTTCGTTTGAACGATGTTGATACTCTGAAGTGGAACCACAAAACATGAAATGAATCGTTTATAATAAAGTGAGCCATTCAACTTTATTACCCACTGATCACTGAATGCGTTTAGTAGTTCAAATCAGCATAATCTGAAGTGGAACCACTAAACTTTTTATGTTCTCAGCAAGTATTTCGGGAGAGGTCAAGAGTGTTTCCCAGTCGTCGTTACCGGCACATGTTCTGTTCAACTTTTTCCTAGTTTATTTTTTTATTGCGTGAGTTTTGTTTTCGACTGACGCACGCCCCTTTTTCTAGTCGAATTCAAGTACTTCCCGCAGTTGCCTACGAATATGGATATATACGAGTATATAAATATGTATGCATATTTACGGTCTATTTAACGACTCTCGTAGCTGTTCGTCGTCGCTGCTTGTTGTTCTTTTTCTTTTCTGAATTTATAATTTTGTCTCTCTCTACTCTTTGCGGTTGTCAGTGTAAACAAACAATAGAATACGACAACTTTTATGCCGGCCTAGCAGTATAAATTTTCTGTCCGCTTAGGTCTTTAAATATGTATGTTAAGTCTGTCGACGCTTTGCAAATGTCTTATGAACTAGTAATACCTCTAAGTGGTCCAAAGTAAATTGCTTCGACAGAGCATTGAAGTAATTGAGCTCCTAACTTTATTTGTATTTTTTAATTAGTATTCACAGTAATTCAGAATTTTCAGGGTATTCGAAAGTCATTCACATTTCCGTAAGAGGTTTGAAACTCTTCAACAATGACAATATTAAGCATTCAGTTTTAGGCTATAGATAATGTCACATTGAAGCCCTCGTGGAACATAAATCTACAGCAAAAATAAGAAAGACAGACAGGGTGAAGGAGAGTGCAAAAGTGTGTGTGATAAAAAGAGATAGAGAGTGAGGGGAAGGCAATATGCTGAGCAGGGGCAGAGAGCTGGAATGAGTAAGAGCGTGCGACAGGGCGAATTCGAGAGAGAATTGCTAATTAAGCCCATGAATGACAAAATTCGCGCTCTTGAAAATCCATAGAGATATCAAAATATTATAATATGAGAAGCTTCGTTTCTCAACTATTTTTTCGTCTTATCTTCCAATATTATCTGCGAATGGCGCTAATTGCTGATAAATTCCGCAGAATTAATTAGGATATTTAGATATTATATATTCAATCAATGGATAACAATGGAACTGATATAAAAACCTATCATTGAAAACTATGCTAAGAATAGCCTTTGGAATGACTTTTGTATGAAATTTAAATTGAAAAAAAAAAAAAATAAAATTCCATTTTCTTTGACATGTTTACACGTGTTGTGTAGGCTCAATACTTCCTATATACCCCAATCGTTAATATAATATTCATTACATACTCAAACTTAACCGATATGCCTTAGGTGGAGGTCGATCCCCAAATTCTTTCGTTGTTGACTTGGAGTGGGGTTTATTCCATGTTTATAAGTGAACAAAAATTAAAATTAGTTTATTGCTTGATAGTGTGAAGTGTGTGTCATAAATGTTCTTGAGCACTTGAATCACTTAAATTCAGATTCTTGTGCGACACAAAGCGCGTTTATCGCACACTTTAGAATTTGCGATACTTTAATTAGGCTCGCGCTTATCTCCACAATCGTTTTGCACTCAGCTCCAGGTGTATTATTTGTATATGACAATCCAAAGATTGAAGTCTATCGGAATTCCAAATTAAATTGAAAGTGATCCAGAAATTGATAAAAGAAGATTGGATTATGGGCTACAAATTATAGATTCATATTATTGTGGTATGATTATTTTAGACGTCACTGTATGGTTTGTGTATTGGCTCTTGGCAACAAACAGTCGCCCTAAAACTGTGGCTTGTCACTTGGCTTAGCCGTGCTACAGTTGCACCACAACCGCGAGTGTGTCAAGCGGGTAATTGACTGCTCTATTTACCCGTTAACCGATTTACTATGGCTTCAACTGCATGCGGTTAACGAAGCAGAAGTACTTCACTTAGCAGCAGTTGAGTTCCAATTGGACAATGCAACGCAACGGCTAACACATCAGCTAATCAAATTCTGTTTATTATTTATTCCTATCACAGTGCAATACAGACAGCATGGACAACGTGGACACAAGTTTTATTCCCGATCTGCCAACGGGCGGAGGTCTTGCTGTTTACCGCAAGCGCGCTAATTTTGACTGGAAGCGCTTGCGCTTGATCTTCGAAACGGAACAGGGACTGCGCATCAAGGTGAGTTACAGTAACAATAAGAGAATCTTTGGTATATTTGAATGTACATTTAATAGAAATAATTTATACTGATTATATGAGAATAGAACAAATCAGATATAGGAAAACATAAGGAAGATAACTTCCATAAAAGATTTTAGAGAAGAATATTTCGGAACTATTTAGGTAAGAAATTCAGGCATGCATTACTGTGAATACGTAGAAAATCGGAACGTCTTGACTGTAAGCATAATAGAGGATCTTCAATTTAATGCAACTCCTTTCAAACTGTAACTAATCTACTTGCATTCCATTCCATTCCCTCTTATTCAGTACAATGTGTGGCGACGCCTGGAAAGTGATCCGCTCTTTGCACACGCCTCGCGCACCCTGCCAATGGACGAGCAGAAGCGGGTGGTCGCGATGCAGGTGAATAGCATGAAACAAATGGATCTGGTGCCCAAGGAAATCGAGAACCTGAACTTCTCGTCCAAGACAAAGTATTTGATGTACATCAACGAGGCGCTGAACAGCTACTCGCCCAGCTTGTCCGTGAAGATAGCGCTGGGAGTGGGCCTGTTCAACAATGCGATCAGGGCGATGGGCACCGAGAAGCATACCAAGTATATTGACGCCGCCTGGAACCGGGAGATCATCACCTGCCTGGCCGTTACGGAGGTCTCGCACGGCAGCAACACAAAGCGAATTCGCACCACAGCCACCTACGATCCCAGCTCGCAGGAGTTCGTCATCAACACGCCGGACTTCGAGGCGGCCAAGTGCTGGGTGGGCAATCTGGGCAAAATGGCCACCGTGGCCCTGACCTTTGCCAATTTGATCACAGCCGACGGCGAGAACCATGGACTGCATGGCTTTCTCATACCGATTCGCGACCCGAAGACATTGTTGCCCTATCCGGGCGTCCTGGTCGGCGACATTGGCGAGAAGAGCGGCCTGAATGGCATCGACAACGGCTTTGTTGTCTTCACCAACTATCGCATACCGCGCGACAATCATCTCAATCGGACGGGCAACGTGACGCCCGAGGGCGTCTACGAGAGCGTCTTCACCGATCCCGGCCAGGCACTGGGCGCCGCCCTCGAGAGCTTCTCGGCGGGACGCATTGGCATCATGCAGGAGTCGGCCAACACCCTGTGCAGCGCGGCCGTCATCGCGGTCCGCTACGCCGCAGTCCGCAAACAGTTCGGCCCGGAACGGGAGGGCGAGGAGATGCCCATCATCGAGTACCAGCTGCATGTAAGTGGAGTCGTATATCTCATCTATTCTCTAGGTCTAATGCTCGTCTCTTTCTCTCACAGCAATATCGCATTTTCCCCTACTTGGCCTGTGCCTGCGTCCAGAAGATTGCCGTCGAGGAGCTGACCAACATATATCTGCAGATCATCGCCCGCTCCCAGGCGGACTCGAACGGATTCGACATATTGGTAGGGTGAACTGGGCGAGAACTGTTAAAAGCAACTGTCGAGCAAACTTCTGGAACTTAATACAAAATATTAGTTCAAGTCGTGTATGAATTGAGATTCCTTATAGTATGTGTCTAGACACTTCACTTATCTGTAGTCAACTGCAACTAGCTTCATTTTATTATACCCTGAACCCATTGAAAATGGGAAATCAGGGTATAATGGTTTTGTGTAAAAGTATGTAACGGGCAGAAGGAATCATCGCAGACCCCACAAAGTATATATATTCTTGATTAGGACGACGAACTGAGTCGATATAGCCCTGTCCGTCTGTCGGTCCGTCCGTCCGTCTGTATGAGTGCGTCGATCTCAGAAGATACAAAAGCTAGAGAG